TATTCATGCACAGCAGAATTGCAAGCTCCTGCCCCGTTGCGCCTTCAATTGTTTTAGGTGCTCCAAGCTCCTTTCAAACCCTGACTTTTTGCCATCAGAACTCCGACCATATTCACCGGCTTCTCTGGGCTTGTTTTGTTGAAACTTAATATCCCTCCGCCGCGGTGCTCCGAGATGCCGTCCCTGCTGCTGCGTGGGGAAGTCAGCCAGCGCTGGCCCGCATCGCCCGTTGTTCTCTGCTTGCTTCGTTAACTGCTCCGCAGTGGCTCTTCCTGGCATCGCAGCTCTTCGTCCTTCCCAACTCATTTGGCGAAACTCGGTTTACTCCAGTAAAACACCAGCACTTGCTGATGCTGCGTTATGGTCGGACTACAGCCGCCCCACCGCCTCCGCCCAGGGAAGCCGTGCTGTACGAAACACGGGCACGGTACCTCCTGCTGATGCCGGCAGCCGCGCGGGTCCAGCAGCACCCGTCCAACACGGCTGGCCCCAACTTCCCCTTGACACCGTCCTCCACCGCGACAGCAGCAACGTCGCTCAGCTCCGCAGCCGGGCTCCTCGTCCGCTGGTGCCGGCGGCTCACGCGGGCAGCCCGGCAGCTTTGCTGGAAAACACCTGCTCCGTCTTCCAGGGGATAGGATTTCAGCATAACTGCTGCCTCTTGTCAAAACAACGGTGTACGTTACCGCGTGTTTATGAAAGCGGGGACTCTGAAGCACGCAAACTGAAAAGCAGTCCCTTTGAACTGGGTAAAAAGCTTCAACTAACCCAGATCCCCCACCACATTAGGACAGCAGTGAGTTTCTTCACTCATTCTGGAGGACAGAAGAGTCGGATATTTCTTTCTTGCCTGAAGTAAATCCTGGACGCAGTTTCTGAAAGGAGACATTGCGGGCTAGAATTGGTCATGCAAAATTGGAAATCGCTCCACATTATGGGGAAAATGACTAATGAGTGGGGAGTCTGCAGAATTAATCCCTTCTCCGTTGACAAGAAAAACTAAAGACTCTGAAACTGCCGAGGCACACTTGGAAGAGCCCGGTTAAATTACTGCAAGACACGGGAAGCAAAGGGAGAGGCGTGCCTCGAGGCACGGAGAGGCCACTGTCCAAGAGACTGACATTCTGCTAGCTTATTGATGATGCTACGTAGCAAAGAACAGCAAAGCTTTAGGAAAAAATGCACGGTTTGGAGGAATATTCCAATTCAGGCACTTGGAGCCCCAGAGGTTCCTGTTTCCCTGACCTAGCAAACAGAACGAATTTTTATTGTGCTTTCCACACAACGAAACGCATTTCAGCAGCTCGTAATCTAACGCCCTTGCTTCGAGTCAACTGCATTTAATACAGGCAGGCCCTCAGGACTCAGGAGAATGCAAAGAATTGCTGTTGGATGGGTCTAAACTTCAGAGAACTCAACAACAGGTCGATCGGTTAATCCAACCCTCGCCCAGGCGACCGCGTCTGGGATTTCCCAGACTGCGCTCGCTAGCAAACTGCCAGCGCTGGGAGCAGCGGGGCTGCGGGCAGGAGCACCACCTGCCCCCGCCCCTGAAAAGCTTCAATTTGACTAAACATTTGGAGAAGAAATATCCTGTCATTTATTAGCACAAAGGCCCGTTGGACAGGAAAGTAACGGAACTCTAAGTGCTGGTAAATGAACGGACCAGAGTTTTCAAATGAATCCTTCTCAAAATTGCGAAGGTGCTAATTCGAATGGGCACTTGTCATCTCTCTGCACCATTTAAAATGATCAAAAAAGGTCCTTCTAAATGCATATTTAAAAAAAAAACACAAATAAACAGGATGAGGCTTTGCATTTCCATTTGATTCGAAAGTGATCTTTTATGGCTTGGTTATAAGACTCCTCAGACAGGATTTCAAATGGGAGAACTGACAAACCATTAAGCATTCGTGACCACCGCAGCACTAGCGAGCTCCTGAAGGGCTCCTGCCACATCTGCTCAGGAATTTTCCTTCAAAATCTTTTCCAGCAGAGACCATGGTTTCTGAAAAGCGACATTTTTTTTTTTCACACAGAATCACAGAATGGTCGGGGTTGGAAGACCTCTGTGGGTCATCCAGTCCAACCCACCTGCTGAAGCAGGGTCACCTACAGCAGGCAAATACTGATGTTTCCCCCCAGGAAAATGTCAGTATTACTGATTTTTTCCTTTAGCTTTCCTGGGGAACACCTAAATGAAATACTCCCTTCTAACAGAACTGAACCTGTTGGTTTAATCCCCTCAACGTTCCCTCTGAGGTCACCCAAACGTTGACCGTGTTCCGTTCGGAAGCTGCGTGCCTCACAGGATGAGCAACGATGCAGGACTTCACGAGGAGGTACTGCAGCCAGCTGAACTTTCTAAACACAGCCGCGCTCGTAAGCCCGAAGGGTAGGTAACTGGGCAACATGGGGTTCGCCGCTTCCCCAAGCAGGGTCCCCAAACCACTCTGGGCTACGAAGCCGCTCCTGGATGGTCCATTCTGACCCCGCGGCTCGACAGCAGCTTGCACCCGGGCTCTGCTCTCTGGGGCAGAGGGCTCCGCGGGGCCGCGGAACATCTGATACGCACCGCCCTGCCGGGAGGAACCAAAGCCATGCAATATTTAGCTACCAAATGACAAATTAGGTCTGCTGGTGCAGGGAAGCGGAGGAAGGAAGCAAGCCTTGCCAGTGAATAGAGGAGGAAAGGGAACAGCTAATGTCTCTATCACGTATCTTCCGCTGGCCTTTAAAAAACAATTTTGATTTGGTTTCTGCTCCTTGGCTGCTTTTGAGTGCTGGTAAGTGCCCCGAAGTAGGAATCTTGGCACAATAAAGCATCGATTCACTGAAAACGCTCAGTATGTTTGACGGCAGAAGAATTAAGCGTTAATCATCCAGAAATGCAACATGCTAGGCTTCTGGGAAAATTTTTTCTTTAAATTCAGATATTCCTGCCTGGCTGAAATCAATGCAAATTTCATACGCTGGTCCTAAAGTCACCAGGCCACTGACACAACAGACAACCCAAACCAGACCAGAGGTATCACATCAGCACTAGGCATGGGCAGAAAACCAAGTGCTGCAAACGGGGGGTGAAACTTTTGCCTAAACATGTTACGCCTTCTCAGCAGCCATGGTTTCCAATAAGACAGCAGTCCAGTTCCCCTTGTTTTCCAAAATAGTTAGAGATTATTGATGTACTGCCAATGTTTTAACATGGAGAGCTCACTAAATCCCACCCTGTCCCAAGCCTAAGATGAGCGCCACGGGATCAGGGTGGGGACAGCAAAGGAGTTGTGCAGAGAAGGGAGATGAAGAGCCGAGGAGTCTGTTCATTGTTTTTCCATTTTAAAGAAAACACTTGCCTGTAACTGTAACCAAGAAGAGAGGCAGCCACCTCCTTTTTTCATGTTTGGCAAATAAACCGACGTGAAGGGTACTTTGCTGGAAATGTTTGTACTTTATTTATTTAAGAAAATATGCAGAGTGCATTGATAGCACAGCATTTGGCCTACTTAAACTGGTGAGGAGAAGGGTAAAGGGCTGCATGTGCTGCTTTGTGAGCTGTGCCTTGGCGGGGAGCAGGAATATACTGCCCTGGGGACATTTTCTGTCTCGTTAATACCAAAACCTTCTTACGTCCCATAGGGGAAAAGGTTGGGATTTTTTTTTAATGATCTCTAGAGGCTGGAGAGTAGCATCATGGGTCAATCTAGAGATTCCAGCGTCTGGTTTTGGCTATAGCTAGCAGAAAAGATGCTTCTTTAAAAAAAACAAAACACTAAAGTAACAGGTGACTGAATAACCTGCTCACTAGAGATGCTTTTGAACTCAATGGCAACCACCGACAGGTATAAAGTTGGAACAACTACGATGGTTTCGGAGCATAAAGGGCAAAACTACAATCCCCAGTCTCCCGTTAGGTTTGAGACAACATTGTAAGGGGGAGTTCCTGAGAGCCCTTGAGGTTCACGACAGCTGAAGACTCTCCTTAGGTGTGTTTAATTAAACCAGTAACTCCAGAGAGAAAGCAAACTTCCCCAGTAGGTACAGCTGCCTGGTTAAATTCCAACAGCATCAAAGTTGCCACAGTTGCTATGCTATAGCTAAATACTGTAAGAAGCACTGAAGTTTTGTTTTGGTTTAAAATTTATGCTGTATTTCATCTTCCAGGAGTAATCAGTCTCCTCTCTAACAGGCTTGCCCAGCGGCTGGCAGTTGGAGGCTGAGGCACAAAATGTTAATCTGCAAAGGGTTTCGGTGTGCTCGTTCCAATCTGCATCAGCACACCCAACTTCCAACCTTCCAAACCACAGTTCGTTCCCTAAAAAGGGCGATTTGAGATGCAGACGTGTCGTTTAATCGGTCCCCACCGAGAGGGGCGATTGGAGATGCAGACGTGTCTTTTAATCGGTCCCCACCGAGAGCACTGGCGCTCGCATAAGAATGGGCCCCCGGGGTGTGAAAAGCAGCCGCATTGTACCCCAGGGATCAGGATTTCCATGCAGCCAGCCTGAAAATGCCCGCAAGCCAGGCAGGGACAAAGCTGATCCCTGTGTGCGAGGGGGACACTGGCAGATTTTGCATCCTGAGCCTGCTCCCAGCCCGCAGACTCAGCCCCACATCCGTGCGGGAGTGATGGGCGATATCTTTGGCCATCGCTTCGCAACTGACCCAGACCGTCTGTCACCTTTACCAGCTGAGAGAGGGAAAATGGACCTTTGACCATCAGGAGCAGGAAACATCTGCACCGCCACCATCTTCAATCCAAACCCGCGCTCGCGTTTTTGCACGGGTTATTACAGCGCGAGCCCTCGGAGGATGAGGTTTTGCAGCCTGGAGCTGGGCTGTTATATGAGATCTTCAGGAAGTTCTTTGCATCGACTGGATAAAAGCCCGTGGCAGCTGGGCGTGCTGTAGAAGCGAGTCACAGACCGCTGCATCAGCCGCCAGCCCAAGGAATAACATTAGTTCCAGCTTCACAATGAGCTGTTTACCGGCCTTGGCTGCCTGTGGGAACAGCCAAGAAGAGCGGAGGAAAAGGAGAGACAAGCACAATGCGAGCGAGACGCCTTAGGTGGGAGGCTGGGCTGTAAATGCAGGCTGAGGATTTCAAACCCATGGAACTGGAAAGGGCTGAAAAAGAAATAAAAGAGCGCCGGCTGCTCCACAGCATAAACAGGCTGAGGCAAATAAGCCGTCTGCTGCATTACTCCTGCTGCCAGAAGATCCTCCTCCCTAGCTGAAGGGCTTATATTAAAGGTAAGAGATCAAAATAAAAAGCTTTTAGCTGGTGGCTCTGCTGGCAGGCAGAGTCACTGGAAGGCAGCAGCAGCTCCCCGCGCGGGAAAAAGGCGAAGGAAGCCGTTCTTCCCGGGAGTATTTTTAATTACCTCTCTAAACATTGGAAAGCCTGCCGGTTTTCCAGCAGGAACCCAGGGCTTTCAGAGCAAACTGCTGGGGGACAAGAGTCCGCACTGTTCTAGTCAGCACCTTTGAGAAGATTTAAAAAAAAAAAAACCAACAACAAACCCCAACGTAAAAAAACAACCCCTTCCTACCCCACGCTAAAAACCCACCCCTTTCTAAATCTGTTTAGAAAGACATTCTATTTTTAGGGCCAGCTTTGCTTTGCAGCTTCCCAGCGCCTTCCTGATCCCCAGCTCCCCTCCTCACTTTTTTAATTGGAAGGAAAACCAATTACAGCCGTGCACCAGAAAACCCGAGATCTCAAGAGCTCTTGCCCTGCTCGTTGCCATCCCCGGCGAGCTCTCGCAGGCTGCGTTGGCCAGCGGATTGCTGCGGAAATCCGCGCTGCCCATTCTCGGGCTGTCCCTGAGCTGCTGGCTCGGCACTGGAAGGGGACACAGCCCCGCGAGAGGGACCCGCGGGGCGGGCTCCGGCGCGGAGGATAC